GATGTCTGTTTCATGACGGACGAAATAGAAGTGGTTTGACCTTACTTTCAGAGCTTGATCGTATTGCCAGGGTGACCTCAATGAACGAACCTTATCCGGTATCCCCTCAAATATAAGTCGTGATAATTTCCGGCTTCAGATCTTAGACTTGGCGCATTCTTAGATGTTTCGCATTCATCGTAGTCGGTACCGTCAATTCTCCTTGTCTCTGAAGGGTTGTTGCTTGGTGCCAAGACTGGCAAGGCTCATTGAGGATGCCGAATACGCTCCGGCAAAATTTATAGGAATTCGCTTATTCGCTTGCATATTATTAGGATTGAAATCAGTAAATAAACTTAGTAATTATTTCCTTCTCTTGCATTGTTCTTTGCCTTTAGCAAAATTAGTTCTTTCTATGCAAAACCAAAATGTTTTCTGAAATATTCGGATCTAAGACAAGATTGCTGCTGCAAATTTTATCGTTCATTATTATATACAAAGATTTTTCTCGCAACTGGAGCACCACTATATCTTATATACACTATTTTTGAGCTCCTATAGACCTGAAATATTTACATAACGCTAATAAATGTGAGGTATAGGACGGCATGAAAGCATTAGCGTTGTATTATTAAAGATTTAATATCTAGAGAGTAAATTAAGGATCACAGATTTAACTTTATTTAGATCGTAGATATGAAGACCAAGATGGTGTGGCCTTTTGTTTGGTCGCAGCCTCCTTTAGCTTTGTAGGGTTGGTTCGACCTTGAGCTTTATTTATTTCATTGCCAAATTTTCATCGAAAATTACACGAAAGTTGACAAGCGCTACTAGATCATTTCATCCGCTCTCCCAGAGATTGCCCAATGTGAGATAAGTAGAAAAGAAATCATCCTGAATCTTGATAACCTTTTTTCCAGCAGATAAAAAAACGTATGATTCAATTCTGATTGCATGCGTTCGCAGTGATTTTTTTTCATACTTCGCCCTCATACATTCGTCGCTTAGCAACCCACTCTTCATATATGCAAAGAAAAGTTGAGTTTCGTGCTTGAATGGTTAGACTGTCGATATATGGTTGGAATGATAATGCCCTGCTCTGACGATGTCCATCATGTGCCGGACGAAAGCTTAGCAAGTTCTTAACAGAATTGAAGAAGGTTGTCTCAAAGACAGCCTCAATAAGCATGTTAAAGTGAAGCATATAGACAGCCGGCCATGAGAAATCCGCCGTTGTCTTCTGTTGAGATCGACCTTCGAATCTCGTCACCATACAATTTCTCTCGAAATGGAATTGGGCTCAACATTTGCAATCACAAGTCAAAATTATTCCTCCTTACAGCCGAATTTTAAATTTCTGGTCAACGGATCGACGCTGGGAATAACGAAATCTAATTTAGCAGAGGACTTCGGACAGGGTGCGTCCGTCTCCCTGACAGCACGACCAAGTTGCGAAAACGAAGTCAACCCACTTCTATACATTTAAAGGAGATTGAGGTCACACTAAATGTCCCAATATCTTGGTCTTCACATCTGTAATTACTTAAGCCTATTATCTTTTAACTGTCCCTACCTTTTCCCTATCTTTTTCCGTAGACAGAAAAATAAAAAATTATTTTTATTTCCATCGTATTCCACTCGCTCAAAAATTTATTTTAGTCTTGAATCGATGGCGTGCTCATACACAAGCAATCTCCTCTCTCGAGACTGTTAACTCTTCGCAGGTCGTAATCACCACATGTAGCGATTGCACTGTCCGTCTATGGACCTGGACTGGCGTCTATATTGGTACTTTTGGTCAACCTGTTTTCTGGAATCTGGCCAGAGCAGCTACCTATCAAGCACCAATGGTACCATATGAAGTATTGGTCGATACTGATAGCCTTCCTGCAATTCCTTCCTGCATGCTTGACTCATCCTTGTCGCAATCATCATCATCAGAGTCTTTGGCTTCGCCGAATCCTTTATTATCCTCATCCAAAGAAGCTAAACTGACGACATCTCCCATTCTCGACGCTTGTGGCAATGGAAACCAAGAACCGGAACAGACTAGTGCAGTAGAGTTCAGTCCAGTTATAGAAATAGAGGCCTCAGCTACGCATTCCTTAACGGAAAATGCAGCCACCTCCAGAGGATCAGAAAATGCTAAGTCACCAGTGCCATTAATCGGAGAAGTTAGACGTCTCAGTACATTGGTGGATGCAAAAACCTGCTCAGAACTAATGCCAAGGCCGGAGCTTAGAAGATCACGAACTGAGGCGGTAAATTTTTCAAGCAATTTCGCTTTAGATACTTCTGATTTAAATTCTATATAGTCATATTTGGTAAAATACCATTGCTATCATTTTTCATTAGTTTCGAATGGTGGGATCTTATTGACATCGACTGTGCCCATTTTGAATTAAATAGAAGGCTCAAGTTTCGTATTAAATTTCACTGTTTCTTGCATCCTAAAGCTCGTTTAATCCAAAGTTGACGGCATTTTCTAGCTTGCTTAGTTTTAACCAGGCCCATCAGCGATATTTGAACTGCACATTTGTGAGTTAAGGAGCCAATAATGCTTGCCCGTAGATATTACAACCTAACTTTATTGATCTACAAGATAACGATTGCTTTCAAGATCAGGCAAGTCCTTCAAATCATATCTTTCGTGGGACATATCACTGTTTTTCGTTATCGCTAAGTTGTCTTATCACTACCAGGAATTCGATTATTGTAAGCATATACTCATTTCTCATAATTTCAATTGGCTGACAATGACTCTTTCCATGATAACTGGAAAAGAGGATTTGATTTTCGCGTTTAATTTATCTGCACTATTCTGAGAAAAGTCACTATACATTCAGTAACCTTAATCTAAATGGTCC